GTAGAAGTTGTTCATTTTGGGCATGCTATTCTGAGGATTAGCTAAACAATTAGTAAAAGTATATTCCGGATCATTTGATTGGTTGCAATTCAACCGAAAGCTGCTATGCAAATTCAGCCTCATGTCAGTTCTTGAGCTTTAGATCTCTTTGGGAGCAAATTATTGTATTTTAGTTTTCTGAAGTGAATGAGAAAGAACAGAAGCAGATCAATTACAAGGGTTGCATTCCCAGCAAGTGGCCGTTCCACGGTCTGAGGGGAAGAGGCAGAGGGAGGGGAAGGCAGCCTGCAGGGTCACAGGCAGGCAGAGACCAGAAGAACCTGGGCCAACCTTTCAGGGGCCTGTTTGGAGCCCAAGCAATTGTTTAGTGTCAGTAAAATGACAGAATCTGCCATATTCAATTCATAGAGTTAATCTGAATAATTTGGTTTTGTACCTTCGGTTATACTTAATTAATTAATTATATTTGATCGATTAAAGTTTTTATTTGGGCCTTCTAGTTGTATAGGCATAAAATGTTTACATCTTGTTAGGGACAGAAAAACAAGAGGTAATGGAATGATAGCAGCAGAAAAACAAGAAGGAGGAAACAAAGAAAAACAATAAGAAGGAAATAATTACAGAAAAATCACCAGGGAAAATAGTTATTTCAGTCTTAAAAAACGGGTAATCAGACCATGGAACAGTGACCACCAATGAGAAAATAGAAAAACACTATAAATGGTGACTTTCCCCATCACAGGTATAGGAGAAAGGAATGTCTGGAACATAACCTTTAAGTTATGTCCATACCTGGAAAAATCCAGACCCCAGAACCCGTGACATATAGTCACAAGTAATGATACCTTTATATCAACATATACTACTAGCATACAAAAGGAGGAATTTTAGAGTTAATTAGGGTCTTCTCCACTAACGGAGACAGACCCATTTCTCCTTAGGAAATGCATTTTCGCTTTGCACCCTTAAACTTTCCTTGCAATAAATTCTTCACACACACTTGCTGAGTGTCTGTCATCTCTCTCCATCGCGTGGGCCAAGGCTTGCGATTCCTCCAAGCCAGGAGCCCAAGAACTGGGGAAACATGTCAAAGTCCAGCCATGGACAGGACCGTGACAATCTCGGTTTATATCTAGACATATTTAAGAAATATTATCTTAAAAATAATTTTATGCAACCTCAGATGTTTTAGAGAATTTTTTTTCTTTACAAGTGTTCTGTTATATCACTCAAATTTGAGAGAAACAACTGACCTATTTTAATTGTCGGTAAAATAAGAAACAAAATTTGAAACTAGCTTATCTTTAGAATTTGTATTCTTGCATTCTCCTAAGACATAAGCAAAAAGATTGATGTCAATGATAGCTCAAACACAAACATCTTTAATAGAAGACTAGGTAATTACCTGAAACACCTGGTAGGTGCAGTAAACTGTAATGAACAAGGATAGATACAGCATATAGCTGGAAGGGAAGAATTGTGAGGGGTCAAGATAGTGCAGAGGACGGCGGAGGGGTACCTGTAAACTATTCATCACGGGAACATCAATGTGGGAGATGGGACAGATACAAACTTAGTGTGAAGATGGAGCTTAAAAATAGCAACACTAGAAATACAAGACAGGCACACAGAACACGGTAGTGTAGTGAGAAAGGAAAAAGTTAGTGGAGGGGGTGTAGGTGGCTGCAAGGAAAAAAATGGGCCTGGCAAACAAAGACTCTAGCACTAGTTCCAGGTCTGGAGTGGTAAAACCATATCCAATCCTGCCAAGCCCTTGTAAGCGTCACCTCCCTCCAAATGAGTTCTTCCACATTCGCCTCTGGTGAATCCAAGTGGGCTCT